TACATACATACATAATGATATAGTGAAGTGGAAATATCCTTTTTTGTTGGTATTAATTAAAACTGAGCATACATACATATTGATATAGTGAAGTGGAAATATCCTTTTTTTGTTTGTATTAAAACTGAGCATACATGCATACATAATGATATAGTGAAGTGAAAATATCCTTTTTTATTTGTATTAATTAAAACTGAACATACATACATAATGATATAGTGAAGTGGAAATATCCTTTACTGGTTGTCTTGCAGTCTCGCATATACAGGTAACGTATATTCTTGTGAAGTCGATTTTCCAGTGATATATATTATAGAACATTGGTGTTATTACGTTATACATCTGTGAGACCAACGAAATATATATCTTAGAATAATGTCTATTACTGTAATATATATATACTATTGATAACACAAGTTACTAATATGTGTGTGTGTGTGTATGAATTTCTTATAGCAAAGTCACATCGAGCTATCTGCTGTGTCCACAGAGGGGAATCGAACCTCCGATTTTAGAATTGTAACTCCATAGACTTGCCGCTTTCCCAGCGGAGTACAGTTTAATAGATAATTTGTTCATGTTTCACGTCTTCCCAAGTATTCAAAATAAACTTATTCAGCCTTCAAATTAACACAGCTGTAGAGCTATGTAATCTAAATATGTCTGGTCAACATTCCCGGTACACATTCCACGTGATTAATGTCGGTAGCTGGCCTCAACAAATTTTTAAAGTTAGCGACGCGTGACTTTCAGGTCTTATAATTTCCAGCATATTGACGACAGAAATAATTTAATTTTCCAGACTACGTTAAATTAAATTTCTTTGCATCACGATCACTTCATATCAAACTAGTCAAATCAGAGTTTAGTTTTTGGTTTTGTTTCTGGAGTACTGTAACACCAGATTAACAGTATTCCAGTATGTTTTGTTTTTCTGGAGTGTTACAATAGTTTAACATTATTCCAGTGTTGTTGTTGTTGTTTTTAATTTTTCTGGAGTGCTATATACGCTAGTTTAACGGTTTTCCAGTGTGTGTGTGTGTTGTTTTTTTTTCTGGATTGCTATTCACATCTTTCTCATGAATACAGTTGTTGATTTCAATATGTGGCTGAAAGCTTGTGAACCTGTGTTGAATACAGTTGTTGATTTCAATGTGTGGCTGAAAGCTTGTGAACCTTTGTTGAATACAGTTGTTGATTTCAATGTGTGGCTGAAAGCTTGTGAACCTTTGTTGAACACAGTTGTTGATTTCAATGTGTGGCTGAAAGCTTGTGAACCTTGTTGAACACAGTTGTTGATTTCAATGTGTGGCTGAAAGCTTGTGAACCTTTGTTGAACACAGTTGTTGATTTCAATATGTGGCTGGAAGCTTGTGAACCTGTGTTGAACACAGTTGTTGATTTCAACATGTGGCTGAAAGCTTGTGAACCTTTGTTGAACACAGTTGTTGATTTCAATATGTGGCTGGAAGCTTGTGAACCTTCGTTAATTTGAAATTTGTCTTAATTATCTTGTTGACGATACCAGGAGACATGTTCAGCTTTATTGTAATGCCATGTGGATCAGACGGTTCTCTTTCGTAACGTAGCTTTGCTGCGAATTTGTTTGGAGAAGTAGTTTTAGAGCTCGTCATCGTCCTAAAAGATTTGTTTTGCGAGTTTTATCTACTTCTGTGGAAAACATTAAATGCTCCATTCTTCAAAAAAATGACGCGTGCTTTGGCACAATATCCTTTGGGAGACTCATTTTTCAAACATCCTTCTTCGGAAAGGGCCGTGATGTACTATTCCAGCCGTGAGGATACCGTGGAATTGCACGTGAACCTAGAATAAAGAGTCTAAACACGTTTTTGGCGCCACAGCGATCTTCTGCAGTGATACACCACTGTCTCAAAATGTTCACATCATTCGTATAAATTGCAGCTAACCCTCTGTGATATAAACGCGTCTCTGTTATAGCAGATCGTATTGATAAACAGTGTAGTTATTTCTGAAGCTTCTTTAGGCATCTTGTAACAACGAGTAAAATAATGCGAAACAATTACTTTTACTAACACTGAAGCCCCTCCAGTGGCACAGTGGTATGTCTGCGGACTTACAACGCTAGAAACCGGGTTTCGATACCCGTGGTGGGCATAGCACAGATAGCCCATTGTTTAGCTTGGTGCTTAACTTCAAACAAACTAACCAAACAAACTAACACTGAAAGCTTAACGACCTCTCGATAAAAATCGCTTATTTATTTACTAGTGTTAAGTTCTTAGATGGTCACCAACTATTTTAAGGTGAAAGAATGCCACTGATGAAAAGGTCTTGTAGTTTTCTGTTGAATAATACTATTCTATTGATTAAATCATTCTTCAGCTGGTTATTTCTTAACCCACTGTTCTACGCCGTTTGAATATCTTATTCTCTTGACCATCTTTGCCAACTGTGTCGCATTAGCTGTCTATACACCTTACCCAAACAGTGATTCGAACCATATTAATCAGTTTTTGGTAAGTACGTTCCTTTTGGTAGGTATATTTTATGTTCCTTTTGGTAAGTATGTCTCTACGTTCCTTTTGGTATGTGTATTTTTATGTTCCTTTTTGGTAAGTGTATTTTTATGTTCCTTTTGGTAAGTATGTTTCTATGTTCCTTTTGGTAAGTGTATTTTTATGTGTTTTTTTGGTAGGTATATTTTATGTTTCTTTTGGTAAGTATATTTTTATGTTCCTTTTGGTAAGTATGTCTCTATGTTCCTTTTGGTAAGTATGTTTCTATGTTCCTTTTGGTAAGTGTATTTTTATGTTCCTTTTGGTAAGTGTATTTTTATGTTTCTTTTGGTAAGTATGTCTCTGTGTTCTTTTTGGTAAGCGTATTTTTATGTTCCCTTTGGTAAGTATGTTTCTATGTTCCTTTTGGTAAGTATGTTTCTATGTTCCTTTTGGTAAGTATGTTTCTATGTTCCTTTTGGTACGTGTATTTTTATGTTCCTTTCGGTAAGTATGTCTCTATGTTCCTTTAGGTAAGTATGTTTCTATGTTCCTTTTTGCAATACTTACCTCGCTAATTCGTGTTCAGTTATTATTGTTTTGAATATACCACAATTGTATTTCTGCTTTTTATACTTAGAAGTTTTCAACCTCTGAATATATTATTTTTTAATTGCTAAATCCAGGCCCTTCTCAGAGTTTCAGAAAGGTCTGGGCCACTTCTATCTTTTGAGTCCCCTGGCTATAATAATAATAATAATAAAAATGATGGCACATGAAAATAAAATAAGACAATCGTTAACTGAAAAGAAAAGTGAAACACAAATTCAATATTTTTTATTCAACTTATATTTATTAACATTACTTTATATTTAATAAATGATTTTTTAACCTTTTTCTGTGCATAAAGCCCCCCAGTGGCACAGCGGTATGTCTGCGGACTCACAACGTTAGAATCCGGGTTTCGATACCCGAGGTGGTCAGGGCACAGATAGCCCATTGTGTAGCTTTGTGCTTAATTACAAACAAACAAACTGTGCATAAAAAAAAGTCGCGAAACTTCACAAGTGCAAAAAAAAAAAAAAAATGTGTCAAAATTTAAGACCCCCCTTTGAGCTTGAGGCCCGTGCCAAATGTCTCTAGTTAAACCTCCCCATCTTCATATCTACCAATATATTTATATTTGTTCGGAGTATGCTTATTTAGACATGATTCGCCGCATGAATACATCATACTCAAAACATTAGTGATCTGAGAAAAATTTAAAACATGACTCACACCAAAATGTTTTCAGTTTAACGCTTTCATAAGAGACCCCCCTTCCCATCCAAAAAAGTTTTTAATTAAAATTACTGTACATTTTATTTTTACATTATTTTATACTGCCATACCTTTTAAATGTATAGTACTCTGGACTATTAAGTTAGACACAATCTTGTTTGTTTGTAATTAAGCACAAAGCTACACAATGGGCTATCTGTGCTCTGCCTACCACGTGTATCGAAACCCGGATTCTAGCGTTGTAAGTCCGCAGACATACCGCTGTGCCACTGGGGGGCGTTAGACACAAACACGTGTCTTAAAGTTAGAGACACGATCATACAACGATATGTAAAAAACAGCAGAAAATAAACGAGAAACTAAATTTTTTTATACAATTGTAAGAGAAAGTAGGAAACATGCAACGTATAATATTATCGAATCTTTTTCTTTTTAAAATTTGGAATTGGTCAGTAAGAATCCATATCTAGATCATGAGTTTGTCTTAAAAAAGTAAGACGTTGGCAGTCGGTTTGGAACATTAGGCTTTAACCTTGTGAATCTTAATATTGATGTAGCAAATGTAGTTAATCTAGAAACGTCTCAAACTTTGTATTGTAACTTAGCTGGGAGGAAGTTTGACGTAACGTGAGGGGCGTGGCCTTAATATCTGGAACTTTCTCTAATACATTTAAAAACGAGTTAGGATAGAGTGATTTATTGAGTTAGTTAGTCAGCTGATGAGAAATAAGTGTATGATTTAGTCAGTTTGTCTGTTACTTCATTCAGTTAGGTAGTATATTAGCTAAGTGCTATGAATATTGACTTTATGTTTCAAATAAGAAATAGAGATACGAAATTATCAAGTAAGTGAAACTTATGTTTAGACATAGTTTATTGGTGAGGTTAAGCCTATCGGTGAAAATTGTTTATGGAAACCACGGAACTTTAAATTCAAGAAATAAAACATTTCTATTGTAGACAAGAATTTGCGTTATTCTTTTTACAGAATCACCCAAAAGTATTAGACCACCAATATGAAGCATTACAAAGCATTAAAGATATGACATATTACAAATTAATATAATAATTCTAACGTTAGATTTCACCATGTGTGAATAATTTTGGAAAAATATTGCTATAAAATATGAGAAAATTATAAATATTCAACAAAGTTATTATAAAATATTAAAAGCATTGTTATGAAATATTTTTAATCTCTTGTGTATTCACAAAATCTGTCTAAATATTATTAAAATATATTATTTTTCTTAGTAGAGATCAAAAGACAACAGGACTTACGTACAAGGAAAAACCAAATTGAGTCAAACGTGTCTTGATTTTTACAGGTTATTACTATTGCAGACTCTCTCTACGATATCGGGCTAATTGGCCGACATCGTAACCATTTTTTACTTGTGCATTTTACAGTGTAACTTTAAATTTAATATTGAAAGTCATGTAGGGATGTTCTATGTATAACTGTATCATCCCTATATTCTTGTTTGTATTCTTTTTTGGCACTACCATCCGTTCATCATTTTACATTTACAAAATGTTTTTTTTATTTACTTTTTGATTTTCTGTCAATGCAGATGAATTAAGATACTTGAAAACATGAGTACATAATTACAGATAAAAGATATTTACGTTTGTTAATTATGACTTTGTGGAAAACCAGTGTATGTTTTTAAAAACTGTCGTTAAGACCTCTTAGTTATTTGTCCCTGATTAATTACTTTCTTTCTCTCCCCCCCTTTTTTTTGCAGGAAAAAGTAGAATACGTTTTTCTGGTGATCTTCACAATTGAATGTGTTTTAAAGATTATAGCTTATGGGTTTCTATTTCACCCAGGTGCTTATCTGCGTAATGCATGGAATATACTTGATTTTATTATAGTCGTAATAGGGTAAGTATACTTTTCAATGTAAGTTTACGATTTTAAGTATAATTGAGTTGTTGAAAACTGGTTTTAAACGTTTAAAACAAAACGTAGAACCCTTAAGTGTTTAAATGTATGGTGCTGATTTTGTGAATAAGGTTTTTTCCACATGTTGTGCATGAGCATTGCTGTATCATATTTATAAAATAAGGATTTGAATGGCATGTATTTATGTACACATCTAACTGATTTAATTTTGTTGTTTAACTTAAACTCTTATTAAGAAATAAAAACTGTTTAAAATATAGTTTGTACAAATGC